GCTTCTCCTCGGGTAAGTGCTCTATGGGGGAGGTAACACGCCGAAGGCTCTGCGTGCCTGGGGAGCTGCCCGCTCCGGGGGTACCAGGAGGTCAGCAGCTGCCGGTGCACATGCCTTCTTTAGGCTTGCTTGCTGACAAGAGACCTTGTCCCTTCCCCTGGGTTCAGCTGTCTCCCGCTGCCTCAGGGGCTCCACAGCTGGCTGAGGGGAGGCCCCTTTGGGAACTGTTCTCACAGAAATCAGCTCAATAAGAGGAGTGGGAAAATTGTTTCAATCTGTAATTGAAATCAAGAAGTTAATGTACCTCTTTAAGAAATAAATGTCAGCTCTTTTTTTTGAGAGGGAAAGGCCTGTTCAGAGGCACCTTGCTTATTTCTCCTAGGGAAGAGCCAGGAAGCAAGGGTGGGAAGCACATCTCAGTGCTATGACTGAGTGATGCTGAGACTCCTTAATACAGGTGGTGCTTCAGAAAACTCTGTGCGAAGCATCTCTCTTATGAGGAGAGGCTGAGAGAGCTGGGACTGCTCAGTCTGGGGAAGAGAAAGCTCAGGGGGGGTCTTATTAATATCTGTAAATACCTGAAATGTGGGTGTAAGGGAGGGAGCGACAGGCTCTTTTGTATCAGTGCCCAGTGACAGGACCAGCAGCAATGGGCAAAAACTGGAACACAAGAGAGAACCTCTGAAATCAGGAAACACCTTCTTTCACTGTGAGGATGACTGAGCACTGGAGCAGGCTGTCCAGAGAGGTTACAGTGTCTCCATTCTTGGAGATATTCAAATGCCATCTGGATATGGTCCTGGGCAACTGTCTCTAGGTGGCCCTGATGGAGCAGTGGGGTTGGACCAGATGGCCTCCAGAGGTCCCTTCCAACCTCAACCTGTGATCCCTTTACTGGAAGTCCTTGGGTAGCAGTTTTTGCTATGCAGGCAAGCAAGCTAGATCATAAAGACCAGAAGGCATTTAAAATCCAGGACCCTCTAGCCTCTAGACACTGATATGCTTCCTCCTGTCACTAGGGAGCAAGCCTGTAAGACGCAAGACCAACAACAAAATCCTGGCAACATCTGGCAGAACTGTCCGCTCTCCTCTCAGCATCCTGCAAGATGATAATTCCCCCAGTGTTCCTGTCCCTTGCCAGGTAAAGCTTAGTGAGTCATACTGTGGGAGGGGGAACAGGCTGGGGGGGAGGGGAAAACCACCCAGAAAACCCCTAAAATCCTTCGGCTTCTGTATTTTGTAGGGCCCCAGTTTCTAGAGCCTGGTGACTTCATTTTTCTGTGGGTCAGTCTTGTCCCTAGATGCCTCCAAGTCTTGTTCAACATCTGTATCTTTGGTCTTACTATGCTATTGCCCATTTCAGTGCATCCTTTCCCTTTAGGCTGTAGAAAGAAGTCCATTGCTCTAGACTTTGTCACAAGAGAGCCAAAGCTGAATAGCCTGAAAATGGGCTATGTGTTCCACTAAGAATTAACTAACCCTCGATTAACTTGTGTTTTACACTGTCTATTTTTTTATTTCTCTAGGGTAAGAGGCATGTGTTGGGAGAGAACCTTGGGGAGAAGAAGGAAGTGACAGTGGATCTGAGCAGGAACCTCAAATCTGGGAGCTGTGGTTGGAGTAACTTGAACAAAGAGAACCAACAGTGTCCTTTTGTGGAGAACTAGAGACTTCCTTTTCCAGGATCATGCTGTAATTTACTTCTATGTTTTGAGAGCCTTCTAGGGGTGAGAAATCCTGCAATAGACTGGATCTTAAGACTTGTTATCATTCTTCTCACCTGGAAAGAGCACGCTATCTCCTAGCTTTGCATGTTTTGTGTACAGTACAGACTTTGGCTCTTCTATTGTATATCGCTTGTATTGACTTACTGTAGGGTTCTTACCTGTAGCAAATAAATCTGTATTAAGCCTTTGGCTGTATGTCCTGATACGACAGTAGGAGTGCCCTGCTTGCCCAATGCAATGTTTTCTTTAGGGAAAAGTATGGGGGAACAAATACTTTGGCCTTCCGTTAGCCCTAAAACTCATCTCTGTCTCCTGCCTGTAACACACCACCATAGAGTTGTGCTGAGAAGGGTCTGACCTTGAACTCAAGTCCCCGTGGGCTGTGAAGCCACAGCTCTGTGCAGGAGGCTGATGCATCTCGTGTAACTTCCAGAGTTCTGCTGCACCTACACTGGCCTGAAGCTAATCTATACCAAGGACTGCAGCCTATTGCAAGGGGCTGGAATGAGGGTGAGATCCAAAAGAGGATGAGGTAGTATTGTGTGTTGGCATTATTATCTTTACCTTCTGTTGTTAAGTCACTACACTTTGACCTTCACCTCTCCCTAGCAGAGCCTTGGGACCCCAGGCTGTGTCTTTGAGCCAATAAGTGGAACAGGAGCTGAATATAATGGTTATGTCCTGTAACTGAGCTCAGATCTCCAAGGTTTGCAAGGATGCATTTTTAGCTCTATCCCTTTGGCTTAACAGTCTTTTCTCAACTAAAATGTAAGAACACCCTCCCCTAGGGACTCTGAGGTAGAGCAAGGCCTGTGGATGAGATGTTCTCTGGCTGGTGTCAGTAGGCAGTCTTCAGAGAAGAAGAGTTGTTTGCAGTAGGTCATTGCAATGCTGGAAAGAATGCAGCCTGCAGTGCTTATGTGAGCTTTCTTTATTAGCCTGGGCTATGAAGATCTATAACAGACTTGAAAACAGAGGCTGTTGGCTACTGGTTAGACAGGATCATCACACAATGCAGGAGTGAGGCAAAAAGAGAAGGAACAGGAAGAAGACAATAAATAAGAATAAATATAATATTCCCTGGTATTCTGGCAGGTCTGAGGGCTACCTTGCCCCCATTTATGCATAGATAAGACTTGAGCTAAGTCTTCCCCAATGGAAAATGAGACCAAATTATACTACCTTTTGCATGATAGAAATCTCAAACCCAGTATGACTCTGAGGCTGTCTGCAGAGATATAAGACAGCTGCACAGAGAAGCTAGGTAGTGTTAAATGGGGGACAGAGCTTAGTGTGGGATAGAGGTGTTGGATGAGGGGTCCTCCAAAGGATGGGTGTCAACATGGGTAGAGTGTTTGAAGGAAGATGCAAGGGTGTCTGAACTGTACTGTAAAGTCCTGAGATATAATGAACAGTGTTTTGCAGGTCTTCAAGCCTACATGAGGCTGGAAACTGCTGGGCCTGTTTGGAGGTGGAGAGAAGTGCCAATGTGTGTGTTACCACTCCCCAGCTCTGCTTGCTCCCCCTCCCTGACCTCCCCTCTCCCTTTCACTCTGGGAGACCCCTACAAGTGACCTGTGTCTAGAGACAAGCAGGAGTAGTAGGTAGGCGTTTCTGTTGAGCTCAGCTGCTGATGCTGGTTTCATGGGCTGTGGGCCCTGCTTCCGGGGCTCTTTACCTTTCTGCTGCCCTCCTCTGAGGAAGCTGTCCCAGGAGCCAGTGGCAACAGCCATGCCATCTGCTGTCACCCCGAGGCAGCTCACTCTGTTGTCATGGCCAGAAAGGATTCCTATTGGGGGGAGAAAAGAGAGGTCAGGAAAAGAAGTGGGGCCTGGGAGAGATGAAGGGGTTGGCCACGCTGAGGACACTCGTAGGCTGTGTACCTATCCTGTGTATCACGCCATCTGTTCCTGCACAACATGTTACAATCAGCCCATGGATAATAAGAACAAACGTTAGTGCATGGCATAAAACCCCCACCCATGGGACTGGCCAAAGAACAATGTTCTTGGGAAGGTCTGGCTGGCTGAATCCCCATACAACTGCTTTCACCCTAGAGCAATAAATATTAGGACTAAGAAGGATGGCCTTGATAAGACTGAGGAATAGCAAGGCCATTGGTGGGCCATCTAATAAATTTTCAGAGGCTGGAGGCCATATCTGAAAGAAAAGTGGTACTTGGGTGTATTCTGTGTATAAGCCTCACAGAATATCCAAAGATGCTGGATGGAAGCCCAGGTCCATGCCTCTCTCAGTGCCTGGCCACCAAGTGGCACTGTGAGTACAGAACTGGCAAATGGCAGAGGCTAGAGGAAAGTATGAAATACCACTGGTGCTTGTGAGCAGTTTTAGCTAATGGGAACCTTAACACTCCTTTCCTCCTTGAAACAATGTTGTTTAAAGGCTTGACTTCCTTAACATTAAAAAAATAGCTCTTCTACACAGAAGTGAGTTGTATTAGCTATGGTATGCTCCTTAAGTGTGAGGAAGCATTGTTGGGTTTCAGTCAGTGTAGGATGTATTCCTTTTACAAAAAATAAGGGCCTTTTCCTTGCCTTGGTAGGGACAGAAGACTTTGGAGGGAACGAAAGAGAGACCTCCAGGAGCCACTCACCCACACGTTCTGCTTTCAGGGAGTCCCAGATGTTGCAGTTGAAGTCGTCATAGCCAGCAAGCAAGAGGCGCCCACTGCGGGAGAAGGCGACTGACGTGATTCCACAGATGATGCTCTCGTGAGAGTACACTATGAGCTCCTGGTCTGCCCGGAGGTCAAAGAGACGGCAGGTGGCATCATCTGAGCCGGTGCAGATGGCTTCACCGTTAGGGAAGAACTGAGGAAGGCACACACCAGATTTTAATCAGGCTGTGCCTTATAGATTTCCTCAATATCTTTGCCTCCCTGCTAGCCACAGAGCTAGGAAAACTCAGTGGGACAAGACACCTCCTCATAAAAGCTGAGTCTGCTGGATGGTGAGACTGATGCTTTTCCTAAGACCAAGTAGTCCCCTTCCACTTCAAGAAAGCCAATGACCTAGGGGCTAGAGCTATTGCAAGACACCCTAGTGCTTGAGGAAGGATTATTGTTGCTTTAACTCTAGCTGTTAGTTCAGGGCTTGACAAGTGTCCACTCATTATCCCACAGATAGGGTCTGGCATGGTTCAGAGCTACAAGGGCCTTCCTCTGTCTGACCCTCATACCTCAACCTTTTTGTACACGCTCCTTTTGTGTCTCCTTGCTCTCAGGAGCGAAAACCGAGCTCCTCAGGAGCAGGTGTGGCAGAAAACTGCATGGCTGCCAGGGTAGGCATGGGACAGGTGAGAAAGGCTGTACTAATTTAAGTCAGCGGAGGATGGTTCACGCACCAAACATTGCAGGAAGCTGGCAGACACATTTGACTAGCAGAAAGGGATTCATGGGACAAGTTTCTTGTCCTGCCACCAGTAGGGCTCTGGCTTGAATCCTTGGCTCTGAGGGGGATACTTGCCCCCTAACTGTCTGACCTGCCTCCCGTGAAGATTTCATCTTTAGAAGATCTCCCTAGGATCCCAAGTTACCACCTCTGCTGTCTGGAGCTGACCAACACCCTCAGATGAGTTAGCTATTCCTGCCGCCTCACCTGTGTCTTGCACTAGGGCTCCTGGATCATGCCTGAACTATGGTTCCCAACAACTGCCACAAGCAAAGCTGTGCCAGCACCCATGTTAGGGTGCTGAGCTCCACAGACCATGGTGTGCTGGCTGAGTCCAAGCATTGCTTTGAGAACTGCAGTGAGATGTAGATGCGTTGGCACCCCGGTGCCTGGGAAGAGCCAGCCTCTGAACTTCAGTAACTCAGGCCCTCTCTGCTTTTGTCTGTATCATGGGGCCAAGGTGTCCTGAGACCCTTCTTGCCCACAGGACTGTGACAGCTTCTTTCAACCTTGTCCCAAGACCCTACTTCAGAGCTGGTCCACCCTCCATTTTCCTGGATTACACACCACCGTGCAGGCAGCATACGTACGCAGATGGCGTTGATATCGGACTCGTGCCCTGAGAAGGTCTGACGGCAGGTACCCTCCCGCACATCCCACAGTTTGGCAGTAGCATCGCAGGCCCCAGAGATGAAGAGTTTGAAATCTGGGGAGACGGCCAAGCTCATACAGTCTCCAGTATGACCCAGGAACACAGTCTTCTGCTGCCCCGTCTCAATGTCCCAGAGTGCGCTGCGGGAGAGGGAGAACTCAGAGTCCACCCAGGCAGAGCGCATGTACAGCTGGGCTGAAGAGCTCTCCTACTCACAAACAAAAGGAGGGAAGCCACGGGCCTGTCTACAGCATGGGAAAACAGGCAAGAGTAATCACTGGAGTCAGCTGTATACAACAGGAGATATCTTCACAGCTGTTGCTGGTCATACCTTTGCCAAAGCTGAGTTAGACTAAGGCTGGGGGTGTGTGTGAGGTTTGACCATATCACCATAACTGCAACAGTTGAAGAGAATACTGAGAGGATGTACGTAAGACCGCAAACAGCTGAAGAAGGTCTGCTGTATCCATGCTCGTAGGGTGCACAGGCCGTGTTCGCTGGGATCCCACACTACAGCCAGGTGAACAAGCCCTGTGTAACCTTGATCTCTGACAGAAATACCACATCCTGACTCATCCTCAGTCAAGAGGTTCTTCCACAGCAGGTGTTGGGATGGGGTGGGGGTGAATAAAGACTCAGCACTGCTCAGAGTCACAGCACAAGACCTGAGAGCCAGGAAGCAAAGGACCCAGGCACTGACTTTGCAGGTGTCCCTTGCACAGTGGGTAAGACTTGAAAAGTGGAGCATGTATGTGGGCTTCATATAAATTTAAGATGTTTTGTGTCCTGGGATAAATGACACTGTGCTTTGTGAGAGATGACAACATGATCTCTACTGCTTCACCAATAGAGCTGCATCTTGACCTGACCTCAACTGGGAAAAGAAGCACCTGTACGGCCAAGGGAGGAAGAATGCATCTGGCTTCCTAAGGTGCTCTGCATGGCTTCCCTGTGGAGGAGCAATTCGTCCTTAGCAGACTGCTGCAGAGCAAAAGAACTGCACTTGCTGATGGGAGAGCTGTGCCTCTCAGAGCCAGAGGTCATGTCACTAGGATGCAGAAGGTAACACTCACCACGTGGTATCCCCAGAGCTAGTCACGATATTGTTGTCATCAAGAAATCGGCAGCAGGAGAGGTAACCTGGGAAAGGGGAACAAGGAAATGAGAAATGAGGCAGGGCTAGAAGAATGGGGTCTGGAAGCAGAGGGTACCCAGGTTGCAGGCAGGCAGCACACGCACCTGTATGGGCTGAGAGCTCCCTGCTCACTTTGACGTTGCCTTCACGAGTCTTGAGGTTGTAGATGGAGCACATGTTGTCAAGGCCCCCACAGGCCACAAAATTGCCTGAGGGGGCATAGGCACAGGTCATGACCCAGGAAGAACGCAAAGGGATGGCATGAACCTGGGAAGAGAAGAAACCACGTCAGGACTCCAGCAGCAGAGAGAGCAGGGCAAGGGCACTAACTCCAGGGGGACCTGCTCCACCATCCCAGTTTGCTGCAGCTGTCCGACTCCTACCTTGTTAGTTGTGTATGTGTCCCACACAATCAGTTTCCCATCTTGTGAGGCACTGACCAGAAGTCTGTGAGAGAGAAACAAGATCATGTTAGTAGCTCTCTTCCCATCAGAGCCTTCTTCCCTTCACACCCATGTGCTGCCCTGCACCCAGCAGATGAGCAGCATCTCTCTCACTTGGAGTCTGTGGACCAGTGCATGGCGTAGATCTTGGCCAGGTGCCCACGCAGGGTCCTTCGGGTCCGCATCTGAATGCGGCCAACAACCTCCACTCCAGACACAATCTGAGGAAAGAGTCAGGGGGAGAGAAAGAAGTAATCTCGGACTGGCAGGAGCTTTACTGCTCCCCACATCTTTGCCTCCTAACTCTGCTTCCAAACTGGAGAGAGTCCTCCTTGGAGTGGTGCTAGATGACCCCCCCACACACACACACCTGCCCAGCCAGCCCTGTCCCTTACCTGAGCAAGTGTTGTGTCTGCGCAGGCTTTCCGGGCATCCTGGAGAAGAGATAAGAGCCGATGAGACAGAAAAAAAGCCACGTGATGAAGGCAATGACATGTGAAATTCAGGGGCATAGCCCAGGAGCTTTTAGAGGTAGGAACTGTGGATTTTCTGAGTTTGGACTGTGGCCAGCACAGGGGGATACTGGTCTGCGGCCAGGGCATCTCAGCACCAGTTAAACATCAGGAAGATGAGCCAAAAGCTACTCAGCATCCAGTTCCTCATGCTACACCCTTTCCATGGATCCTCCCGCCTGGCAGAACACCAGCTGCCTCCCAGACAGAGGAGGTCCTGGGGACACACTACCCTCTCTGCTCCCCTGCAGAAACAATGCCTGTGGCCACTTCCTTCTCACCATTGTAGAGTGCCCTCTTGTCTCCCTTCCTCTCCCCTTCTTCCCCCCACCATGCTATGAAAATCTGCATTAGCCCTTAAAGGACTGTGCAGAACTGCAGAGGGCTCCAAGGATGTAGATGGAGAAAGCTCAACTCCAAGTTGTGTCTGAGGAGGAGAACTTGGACACGATGTAGACACTCTCTCAGCAGTTTGATGACTGTTGTCAGTATTACCGCAATCTGCTTCTTCAGCTGTTCAGCCTCCTGCTTCATCTGTTCCATTTCCCCCATCTTTCTGACCTAGGGGTGGCTTCTCCACGTGGGGCAGCCTTGATTCTGGGGAGACAAATCAAAGGATAGAGGTGTGAGGTAGAAAGGGCACTACTACGGTTGCTCAGTTACGCCAATGCAGGCATCTCTGATAAGGGCTTAGCAACCATTTCTTGTCTGAATGATTGGTAATGTAGTGCTGTAACTGGTCAAAGCCCTTGGCACTTGGAAAGTTTGTACTGGGCCTGATCAAAGGTCCATTTGGTCTTGTATCCTGCTTACACATACACTGGAAAGCTGAAGACCTCCAGAACCTCTTGCTGAGGTTCTGGCTGCACTTGTCCCCTCACCTCTTTTATTTATAAGCTCCCCATTCTAAGCCATACCAAATCCTGAGTCCTCTTCATCAGCTTCTCCCTGTCCATGGCCAAGCTGTCCGTCTCAGCTCCAGGAGGAGGAAACTTGATGGGGTGAGCCCAGTGTCTACTTCTTATCTTCCTATTGCTTGTCCTATCACCCATGAGTGCCCACCAACTCTTTGACCACCAAATAAATCTGGGGGCTTTTGAGGTGCTCTGTCAGGGTTCCCTTCTAGTTTCCCATTAAAAAAACAACAAAAAAAAAAAAAGGTGGATACCTAGGGAATGACCTAAGAATTATATAAGCAGATAGCGGTATTTCCTCTACTTTCCTAGCCCTAGCTCTTAATTGATTTCCAAAGCTAGAGGCAACATTACTGTATGCAAGTTCTTCTATGCATTTATCCACACGGTTTTTGCACCCATGCTGAAATTGAGCGTCCTCCATGGTGAGGACTTCCACAGCATAGTGGCATGCCCTGTGGAAAAGTTCCTGGTTCTGTTACTCCCAAATAGCACTAGTTCCACCTGCTGGTACCTAGCTTTTGAGTTGGAAGAATCAGCAAATAACTCTATTCACCTAAGCATTACTTGTTTTTTTTATAGAGCTTTGTCCTATCTGTCTTCATCTATCTCTTTTCCAGACTGCAGGGCACACTTAGTCATTCTTCCCATGTAAGCCATTTTCAGCCCATCTGAGCCCTTTTCAGTTGTTTACAGAGTATAGATTTTTGCAGAGAGGGCAATGAACCAGAACTATAATCCATATTCAAGATACAGGTGCACCATATGATTATACAGCATCTGGTTTGTTCTGTGTTTCTTGTTATGTGCACTTCAAACTTCACCAGTGATTCGAGCATTCACAAGTCTTGCAGGCAAATCTGGTCTTTATTGCTTCAATCTTTCTCCTGGGTAGGTGTGAGTGTCCAGATGTGCTCTGGCTGTTCTTTATCATTAGAACCAGCACTTTGCCCCAAGGCCCATAAATGCTCCAGCAGCATCTAGATAATTTCTCCTTCTAGTCCCTGTGAGTTCCATAGCCTCCATCCCCCTCTGACCTGTTGTCTGCTGGGCTTTAGGTCCTTCCATGCCAGGCTGCTCTCTTGCTGTGGCACATGCAGATAGCTCCTGAGTCCCACATTTGCTCACTGCTTCATAGAGCATTTAGAGTTTCCCTCCAGAATCCCTTCCCCTGAACATCGCTGTGGCTTTCCTTTGATCTTCCAAGCAGGGTGAGTTTCTGCCTGGTCAATGTCTCCCAAGGCATGGCTTGAGTGTAAGAAAAACACGGAGCTGTTTCCCCAAGCTCCCAGGAGGCATGAGCTTATCCCAGAGGGAGCCTATTTCAGGCTATTATTTGCAGAGAAAGATTTGTACCTGCTGCCTGCAAGCCTGAACAGAGGCACAGCACTGCTGCCTCTTCCCTTCTCCCTGCCCACACCCTGGACGTGGCTGCTGGCCTGGTCTGCTGGCTCCAGCACACAGTGAAGGAGCAGGAGAGGGGGCCAGGGCTGCAGCATGGGGACCATGAGGCAGGTGCCACAGCAGTGGCCTGGGGCTGTCAGCCTCAGCTCTGCTGAAGGACAAGGACAGACCAGCGTGTGAGCTGGGCTCTTCCCACTGTTTGTTTCTTCTCCTGTTTTGACAGAAGAGTGATGTGGTTCCTCCCAGCAAGGATATATAGCTGCACCTCACTGAGTGATGCTGTGCATGAAAACCCACCTGAATGCACTTCTCCTCCTGCGGGGAGGGTCTGGGCACCTCACGCCATCTCTCAGCTAACTGACAGACTGGGGAGATGCTGGGGAAGGCCTTGCAGCTTTCAGTAGGAGGCTGCATACCCTCCTTATCTTTTGGTGTTTGCACCTCGGCTTTGGTACAGTCAAGGTGCAGAGACTGTGTCCACCTCTGGCTGCTGCCTCCCAGCACACCAAGCGGCAGCTCTGAACTTCCAGCCACCCTTCCAGCCCTACCACTGGTCCGTACCTTCCCCTTTCTCAGTTTTGCGCAGGACTGATCCTATGTCCCTTCCATCCACCGTAAGTGTTGGACTGCCTTTTCCTGCTGGGCCACCTCTTCCCTCTCTATTCTCTCCTTCCAGTCTTCTCTGTTTGGTCCCCAAGGCCTGACCTCCCCATGGCAATCCCTTCCTAGAGCTTCTCCCAGCTGGAAGAGTACTGGCTTTCTGCTCTCCAGGCTGTCATTTCACAGACTATTGGCCATCCGAGATCATCATCCAGCCACCTGCCCTAATCTCATGGATTTCCACTTTTGCCCACCCAGTCCTGTATGGAGGTGGGAGCCTTGTTCTCTCTTCCTTCCAATTTCTGCCCCAGGTGAAGCTGGCTGCACATGTCCTCCCCACAACCTGCTGGGTCCCCAGTCTTCATTGCATCTCTCCTGCTTTTTTACCATCCCCTTTCCCGGATGTTTCTCAATGCTGTCACTAGCATAGGAGAGCTAGTTCACAGGCACCTGCTCTGAGAAGTTGCACAATCATATGAGGGGTTTTCAGAGCTGCCAGGAAGATCAAAGGGCAGGGGAATGGTGTCGAGGACAGATAAAAAGGGCTAAATATAGAGAAGGTGCAGCTCAGGTTCAGGACTGTCCAAACCTTTAAATCCCTTTTGGAGAACACTCTAAATGAAGCTGGGAATTGTTCTCAGCCTCAGAAGGACAAGGAGCCACAGATGAGTGATAATAATAGCTCCAGCTTCGCCTGTCCCCTCCACCTGTCACGTCCCAATGCAATTTGTGGAGAGTGAGTTATCTGGACCCAGGAAACCCACAGCAGGTGTGCAAAAGAGCAGCGCATCATGATCATGTAAATTTAGGACAGGAAATGGGGGAACCAAATGAGGGAAGAACAGGAGAAAGGGGAATGGAGTTTAGAGTCTGGAGTCTGGCCAAGGCACATTCCTGCCATAACCAGTGAGACCTTAGGGATCCACATTTCCTGTGGATCCATGGATCAGCTCATGGTTGCTCATGGTAGCTGCCCAGCCTGGTTTTAATGGGAATGGCTTCTAAATGGTGCATGCTCAGTGGTCTCTGGAAGTAAGGGCTCTTTCAGGTGGATGCTAAGCAGTTGAGGAAACCAAGTCCTTAGGTACCTTTGAAAAGCAATTGACCACCACCCCCTACGCAGCATTGCAAAAACCTACTGACAGGAGGACCTTTGCACCAGCACTGGTCCAGAGTTGTGCCTCCTACAAGCATCACCGAGGAGCACAGCACATCCAAACAGAGCCGGGGTTTAGGCAGTTTATGCCAGCCCTCTTCTGAGCTCTGCCTTGGCTGTGCTCATCCAGTTCACAGTTCTTGGCTTTTGAAACCATGTTTCATTCCTTCTGCTCTCCAACATGACTGTTCTTTCCCCTCCTGCCTTTTCTGACAAACTTGCTGGAAGCACCTGCTGTGGCACTCCGGTCTGTGTCCCAGCTAGACCCATCCTGAGCCCTTGGGCGTCTGCTCCTAGCAGACCAATTGTCTCTGCATGAGGCTGAAGGGGGTCTGGAATCATCTACCTTCTGCCTTTTGCTGCCACACCATGACTTTTCAGGGCAGTGGCTATGTCCCTTGCACCATGCTGTGTTGGGGGGCCCGGCCTGCACCCCAGGGACTGTCCTTCCAAGCCACCCGTGTCACTCCCTTGTTGGGATTGGGGCACAAGTGATGGATGGGAAGAAATGGGAGGTGAACTTCTTTACTTCCTATCCTCTGGGTAGCTTTCCCCACACTGGGGAGGAAGTGATCCCTCTGTGGGATGCTGGGAGAGGGCTGTAAACAGAAAAGTGAAAGGTGCAGGAAGGAGGACCGAGTACTAATAGGCAGCATCCCTTGGTCTCTGCATAATCCCTGGCTGGCCTCACATGCTTGCCCTGGTGACCCTAGGCTCCTTGCAGAGCCGGATACAGAGATGATCCCCCTCTCCTGTGATGGAGATCAAAGGCCAGGGTAAAATTACCCTGCTCTGCTCCTTGCTTTCTGAGGGCTCCTTCTCCATCCAGAAAAGCAGCCAGCTGCAAAGAGGCATGCACAGCAGTGCACTGGTTGCAGGACTGTGTACGGGTAGTGAGTGCCCGGTCCCTCAGGGGAGACATTACCCTCCTGTTCCAGTCTGGAAACTGGTGAGATTTACCTGCCAACAAGAGAACAAGCAACTCCAACCCAGTGCAAAAACTCTCGTCATCATAAAGGCATTTCAGCACCAACCCCAACTCCTTCCCCACCAGGATCTTCCCTCCCACATCCTCAGCTGGGATCGGCCCATGTACAAAAACTCCCCACATCACACCAAGAAAACCAGTGTCCCAAGAGCCAGGCTCACCAAGGTGACCTCAAGCATCTTAAGGCAGCATCCTTACCGGGATCTGTAGAGCAAGGCGGGTTGCAGTCCTCCCTGGATAAGACTGTCACGGCTTGCCTACCCTGCTGAGAACAGCTCCCCCCCAGCCAGAAACCCCTTGTCCCTGTGCGGTTTCCAGTCAGTCCTGCCTGTCCACTCAGCGAGTCTCTTCCTCCCTCTCTGCTCCTCAGCCTCTCCCAGGACTGATCTCCCCATGGGGAGCTGGAAGGCTGTGGACGGGAGGGGTTGGGGGAGGGCCGATTCCAGGAGCAGCGTCAGGCAAATTAAATCAGACACCAGAGACTTGGGGAAATCGGATTGGGACGTAATGCAAAGCAGGTGGACGGGGAGGGGTGAAAAGAGAGAGTAGCACACTGCTCCTGAAGGGAAAGAAACCATCACAACAGGCGGATTTGACTCCCTCTGTTTATATCAGCAACAAACTAATAAAGATTATCTAGAACAGGCTAGGATTATCAGCCACTGGGGCAGGGTTTGCTGCACCTCAGAGTCCACAGGAATTGCCATTTTCCCAGGGACAGCGTGCCACTTGTGTCCTGGGCAGAGCGGAAAGAGGGATGGTGTCATCCACAGTGTCCCTGCCAAGAGAAAACCCATGGCAGGGCTGGGGTCACACCCTCTCTGGGCAGCAAACTGGGCTCTGTGTGGGTAAAACAGAACTGGGCACAGGGGCCAGGGGTGGCAAAAGATTTGGTGGTGTGCCTTTTGGCAGCCACTGCAGTGGGATGCTGCAAGGGGATTATCTTGGCCTCAATCTCTTTTAATCTTTCCCGCGGCTTTGGCCCAAGCCTGAGATAAATACCTTTTAACGGATCTCATCTGACGTCAGGAGGCCATCAGTATAATCACCCAAGCCACCTTTGGCAAAGCAAGCCAGAGATGTGGACACTGGCCCCTCACACCCCATTGGGGATCCTTGTCAAGCAGGAACCATCCAGCACTCTCACATAAACCATTGGGATGGATGTGTGAGTGCTAGGATGTGATAGGCCTCCTGCGAGGGAGAGGAAATTTGAAATGCAAGCATCAAATTGTCTTTTTCCTGCGACCCTGGAGAGGAGGGGAGGCAAAAAGGGTTGCCAGTGCAGGTTTCCCAAGTTTGCATGTTAAGGAAGTGCTGGGATTCAGACTGAGGAAATACTTCATTTTCCATGCAGCAAGGGTCCTGTGCCAACAGCAATTAGGGGATCACCCACTCACCTCTTACACCACTGGCCCTGGCCCTACAGATTTTTTCCATTTGAACAGTAGTTCGGGTCTCCATGCACAACTCTCATCAAGGCCTGTGTGTCATGATCACAGAATGATCTCTGGCTCTAATGCTTCCCAGGAAAAGGGTCACTGCTCTTTTTGATACTCCATATCCACCCCATTCAGTTCCTGTTTGGCTACAATATAATCCCATCTCGGGACACTAATCCCCTGGGCAGTGGCAGCAGATTGTCTTTCTATCAGGGTGGAAAACGATAAATAAAGTATCTTCTGCTTTCAGGGACAATTTGGTGCTTGGAGCAGAAAAAAAAAACAAAACCAAAACACAGAAGAGAGGCCTGGTGCAGGGAAACATTGAGCGTACAGTGCTTTTTCTTAAAGGCACTCCTCACCCTTTCCAGGGGTTGGTCAGGGCAGAGCTGCCTTTCTCTCTTGCTCTCCTTTATCGGAAGTAGCTGGCATCTGGGCAAACACTTTTTTTGCGACCATTTGTTAATTAAATTTCCATCAGCAACGAGTGTGCATGTCTCCCTCCTGGTGTACAGACTCAAGCTCCCACCATCTGTGTCCAGCATCTTGCTTTTATTCCGTATATTCACAGTCCCTCACTTTCCCTCTCTCAAACCAATTGTGAGTTTCTGGAGTTTGCAGGTGCCTAGGAAATTCAGAGGCTTCTCTTTTGAGTTCCTGAATGTGAGCCAGTCCTTGCTGAAAGACCCCAGGCTCCTCCTAGCCCCTCTCAGATTTGGCCCTGGATGACCAAGAAGTTGGCACTGAGAGGAGTGGGGTGAGAAGACTCTACCTTCTTTCTTCTGAGTGATACAAATATGTTGGTGAGGCAGTGAAGAAAATTCCTGGTGTCACTGACTTTTTAATACTCTGTCCCTGCTCCCATTTTTAAGCTACTGGGATGTCACAGAGAAGAAAGCTGCATCCCTCCCCATCACTACGGCTCTAGCATGCTAATACACTGCTCCAGGCTTCTGTGGTCATGGTGCCACCAAGACCTGCCAGGCCATGGTGTGTGCCAGTCCTGCCGCCAGGCCCCACATACTCAGAACTCATCTCTGGCCCGCAGCTCCTTGGGGTGCTGTGTCCTGTCTGAGCCAGGCTTATGTCTCCAGCTTGTGGGCCTGGCTCCACCACTGGGAACTGGAAGCTCTGAGGAGGGTCTGCCGCTGTGATCAGCCCCCTGATGTTCTTCTCCATCAGGCTGGTCCTGCTCCACAGCCCTCTGCTCCATCAGTTCCTCTGCCTTCACCCGTTCCTGCAGCCATGGAGACAGAGATGATGTGAACCCCTTCCTGCTAGGGACTTTGTCCTGCTTGCAGGGGCTGACAAGACACATCTCATCTTTGCCACATCCATCCAATGCTCCCAGAGCCCATTCTCTCTTGTGGAACCCATCACAGGCTGGCCCTCCACCAGGTACCTTGTCAGAGGACAACCTCCAACTGCTGCACTAGTCCCTGCTCCATAAGAAAGCCCACAAGCCATTCCTCGGAGGGATTTGATCTAACTTGGAGGTACTCGCATCCTTTTCTCCAGCCTGGTCCTTTACCTGCTCAGCATGTTCCTGGGAGTGTGTGTACCAGAGAGCAATGGCGCAGCGCCTCCCACGCCTCACTGCCCAGACGCCATGGGGGTTCTCCTTGCCAGAGCTGAAGGCTACCAGCCTCCCACACTTAGGATGCACCTCGGCCTGCCAGAAGAGAGAGAAGAGTCAATGAAGCCAACAGTCCCCAGCACTGGGGTATACGGTCATTGTACAGACATAACATCGCCTCCGGGAACATGGAACACCAGAGAGCCACCAGACATCCACTGCCAGTCAAGGAGCAAGGCAGACCTTGGGGAGGGACAGAGAGAACCAAAGGGACAACCTACATCACAGACATCCACAGACTGAAAGAGTCTGGAACATCTCAGCTACAAAGGAGTTAACCTCTCCTCTGTCTGAGATTTGCCTCAATTTGCCTTTAGCTGTCCCTATTTGAATCTGCCACAGCACCAGCACTGGATTGTTTTTGGAGTGGTGAGATCAAATAACCAACTAGTTTCCTCCCACCCAGACTAAGTCTCACCCTCCATCTTCCTCCCTCCTTCTTTTGGCCAGTCCCAGACTTACTGTGACAGTCACAGTGTCCATTTCAGTGAAGAAAAGGCCCCCACCTTGGAAGTCATCATTGAGGTAGAGAATGCCACTGTGGACAAAAAGAGAGGATGTGTGCACACTGAAGTTCATTCCTCCCAGCTGCTTTCCCACACTCTTTGTCACAGGCCGCTGTGGCATCTGAATGATACCACAGGTTCAAAAAGAAACTAAACCAGTTAACAGGAGAATCCATTTGGGGGTGTTAAATACAGCAGTGCCTAACTCAGAGGAGTCCTTGAGCTGCAAGTCACAGAGGGCTAGGAGAGTATGCCAGGGAGTTAGCTCTATGTGCTTGGCCTGTTTTGTTTTGGTTTTTTCTTAATCCTCTACAGCATGCATCTGTGGCCATGTTGTTACAATGTCCTGGGCTAGATGGACCTTGGTTCTGACCTGGCATGACATGTTTTAAGATTGGAAATAATCCAAAGCCTGGAAGAGGAGACTGACCAGCAAAGAAAGCCATGTGTTAAGAGTCAAGGAATTTCAGGGTAACATAAAAATGGACAAAAAGAAGCTTAGTGCATGCAGAAAAGAAAATTAAAACAACAAATTTCTTCACTAATGTTAGAAAAAAAGAGCAGTGATGCCACTGTGCAGTGAAGGTGAGACCACAGTCAACTAGGTGAAGAATGGACCACAAACTACTTGACTTTCTCTTGATATTCAATTAATCTGATAGAAAACATCAGAAGAACAAGAGAGGCTCATTAATGGAACTGGAAGAAAGAAATAGAAATCAACACTCTGGCTGCTGAAGCAAAACGTTAAGGACATAAGGACAGTGAGAGGATTACCAACGCTGAAATCCAGGAAGTTACAGCTCTTCTGCCATAGGGTTTTAATAATACTGTGAAGTCAGGGTAGTAATATGACTGGAGAAAAGCAAGGATAGCTCTCATGCACATGAAGGGGCAGGAGGGTAGGGATAATAGCTGAAGTATAAACAGGCCTGTTAGCCTGACTTCAGTAGCCTGCAGGGCTTTAGACTCCATTCCTGAGGATAAGGATGTAAGGACAAGATGTAAATGGAAAACGGTTTTAAAATGTAACATGGGGGTACTAAAAGCAGATTGGGCTAGCCGCACAATCTTTGACAAAACAGTTGATTTCTCAGGGAAAGACAACATGCTTGATCTCAGCAGTCTGGACTCTGGTAAAAGTACTCAGAATGGTGCCACCAGAGAAATTACTAATGAACACAGAGAAGGTGAAGAAGAGCCCATGAACAGCACAGAGTGACTTATGTACCACTGGTACTGAAAGACATACTGTTCGCCTGGAGTAGGATCACTGGGACTCTTGGACCCCTGGGCCCAATCCTGTTCAACAGTTTTATTAGTGATGATAGCACAAATACACAGAAGAGATCCAGGGAGTTTGGAGCACAGGGACCTCTTTCAAAAGGACACTGGATGAGCTCAGCCCTTGAGTTGCTTGGTCAATCCCAATTCACTCTGCAAGAGGACAGGAATACTTGTGGAAATAGCTCAGTGGCATAGATCCCAGGAAGATTTTTTAACACACATTCAAGTAGAAGTCAGAGAAACCCACTAGCCAGGGAGGAGTGAGGTGACAGGACAGCTTTCCCACAGGAGGGACAGAGATCTAACCAGTTATGGGACAGAGCCTGGTAACTTTATAATCCGACTATACCAAGTCAACATCTATATCAGAAGGAAAATGGACTCCATACTAGAATTCCCTCTAAGTCCCACATCCTTACCATAGGCTGCTCAGAGAAGATTTCTGCTCTGGGCACAGCTACTACTCAAAGAAAAGGCAAGTAAGATTTCTGGATGCCCAGGGACGGG